CCGCCCGCGTGCCCTGCCGCGGGCTCAGCGCCGGTGGCGTCCCCGACATCGCTGCTTCCGAGGGCTTCGTGGTTGGCGGAGTCACTAAGGTGCTGGGGTGGGGGGGGGGAGCGAGGGACCTTTCCGAGGGCGAGTAGTTGCGTAACAGGCCAAAGGGTCATCTAAGGTTGTCACCGAAGGGATGAGCCCAATGCTGCATCAGCTGTTAGTCTTCAGGCTGTGCGAGACCAGAACCGTGTCCAGTTTTGCAGCTCTGGCTCGGAGCCTCCGCGTGCCGGTGACCTGTGGCGGTTTGTCTGTAACGCTGCTGTCAGGATGGAGGTTTAGCAGCGTGGTGGTGCGAACGCTGTCATGTCTGTTTTGGCCCCGATCGGGTGTTTGCACTGAGAAGTGAAGGGTAGTTGACACCTTTCCTAGGTCCAGCTGTTTTCCGTGCTGCTGCTAACATCCTGCATGTTTAAATGTGAAACTGAAGCGGTAGCCGCAGTATTTCTCTGCTTTGCACCCAACGAGGGATAAAGAGCCTTCAGCTGGATGGTCCCTAGTATTTCTTGCCCACACATCTGAGCGTTTGTCCTGCTGGATAAGGCCCCTGATCTCTGGGACTCACTGCGCCAGTTCTCACAGACATTAAAATTTTCCATACTTAGTGAAGCAAGTAGCTGAATGCAAAACAAGCCATCTCATCTGAGATGGATGTGCTGTCCTTGTTTGCTTTTTTTTTTAGTATATTTCTATAAAAATCTCATTTGTAACCTAGATATTTTACAAGTGTGTCAGTAGGACTTATGGTGCTTCTGTTTGTTTCTTTGTTTATTTTTTCTCCCTTTTCCTCCTCTAGAAAAGCATTCACATTTCTTGTCCTCACGAAAATGTGTCCACAAAGTTCTTGGCACCCTACACAACGTTTTGTAGAATCCATCAGAAAAGTGTAAGTAACCTTGTGGAGTGAGTGGGAAATAACTGGAAGTGACTGTGAACTGTCATAGTGTGTCTGACTGCTGCGTGCACGTTTAAAAGAATGGCCTGCAGGATGGCTTCGTATATAAACTAGGTAACTAAACCATATCAGACCTCAGAAACCTTGGAAACTTAATCATGGTTAAGACTCACCATCCAAAAATCTCTAAAAATTGTTTAGACACTTGTATGTACTTCCAAAACTAACTTATTTTTCATGGTAATTTTTTAAAGAAAAAAAAAAAACTGATACAACTCCAGGGTCCTGGAAGCTTTTCAAGATGAAGCTGTCCTGTAACACTTGTAGGGAAGCTGATATTTAAATGTGACTCTACTTTCGGGTTGACTTTGATCTGTGATTAGGAAAAATACTTTCCGAGTGATTGCAGCCATGAAAGTTCTCTGTTTCCCTGGGTTTCCTGAGTTATTTAATATAAAAGTGCTCAGATGAGGAGTTCAGTGTGTTTTGTGGTTTTCCTTGGAAGGGAACCTCGGCCTGCTCTGCGCCTCTGGGTACAACCGCAGCCCTCGTAACAACAGAGGAGCCTGAGGGGAGACAAAGCTGCTTGTTAGAGAGCAGCAGGTGTCACAGGGTGGCAGAGAAAGGCTCAGAAGGGAAGTGGCTGCTGGTGCATTTTGTTTTGGTGGCTCTCTGACAACTTGGAGCGTGCATCACCACACAGACCAGATGTGGCCTTCTTCTAAACCTTTCTTCTAGTTAACTCGCTTAGTTTTTAACTCTGTTCTCTTGCAAGCCATCAGGTTTCTGCTCACTTCAGACGCACAACAGGTCCCAAGGAAGATGAGTTAGTTAATGTGTCAGGAGAAAAAAGACAAAAGTAAGAGGTTCCAGGCATCAAGCTCTTCCTGTCCGACTCTGTGATTCAAATCCATCCCAGGCTCATAGTGGCTGTTTGCCTTCATGTAATGAAGTTCTACATAATATTTGCCGTATGGCTGCTATATTGAATTCTGTGTTGAGAGGGTCAGTAGAGGGGCCAAGAATTGAATGCTGCATAAATTGACCTGGTGGGAATTTGAGACAAGGAAAGGCCTGGCTTGTATTTAAAAAAAAAAAAAATCACTTGTTATGCTTTTTATTTAAAACCAGTCCTGCTTGTTTCATTGGATAGTCTTTTAATTTACTTTGTACTGTCCAGCTCATCGATCTGGAGATGAAGCAAGTACTGTTCCTCACTGCACAGTGACACAGAGAGGCTGACTCTGGCCTGAGACTTCATTTTGGCCCTGAAGAGAAGCACGTAGCTTGGCTGTACTGGAAAGTAGTCTGTGCTTTTGCTGAATGCTTAACCCTATCTGGAAGGGATCCAAGAAAGTAGAGTACGTTATAGCCTGTACTGCTATCCTAAAGGGTGTCCCTGAAGGCTCCTCGGGATGTTATATACACACCTGACTCGAGATTTATTGAGCAAGCTGTTGTGATAAACCCAGCTAAAAATGCTGAAAAGCTAAAAAGTCAGTCTCTATTGATGAAGCTCAAAAGCTGTATAAATCAAGTTGCGTTTTGACGTACGTGCAGTTCCACAACTTTACGACTGTTTTAAGAGGAAGCGAGGCTGTGTGGAGAGACTGAGCTTGACAGTAAGGCAGCTCCTGAGGCAGAGGTGAATCACTTTTGAGAGCTTTGTGCTACTTAAAGAGTCCCCAGCTGCCCTTTTGTGTGATAAATGGAATCAACATTCAGAGCACAGCAAAATGGAAATGCAGGCTTAAGTGTTTAGTCTGCTGTCAAATGGGTATGATGGGTTACAGCTGCACTGCAGATCTCGCCTCTGGAAAGCAGCTCAAGCAAGATCTATTAATATGTAGATGAGTGTAAAGCTGCTGCGGACTAAGCTCCGGTTATCCTATTTACCTGCTGCCTCTTGTTCTGAGCACTCGTGCTTTGCCTTGCCTGTTCACATATCCCTGTGGAAAGTTTGTGGTTGTGTCGAACATCGATGCGGCTTGGTTGTTTTCATTCCTGTTCGAATATCCTTCAATCTGAATTTTTTTGCTTGCTAGGGAGCAGGCTACCATGGAGAGGGTTGGGCGTTATATAAAATGACATTGAAGTTTTCTCACATGATCAAGAAGAAAGTGAATGTACTTAATGGCTGTTTAATGGCTAAACCACAACCTATACTTTTAAAAAAAAAAAAAACCCTCTAAAATACTAATAATTGTTTGTTTTAATTCACAAACTGACTTTTCATCTTAAAAAAAAAAAAAAAAGCATTGATGATCTGCAGCCTGTTAAAGCTTGCTGTGATTTGAGCAGTCAGAGGTCTTTTTAGGAGAGCAACTTGGTCTCACTCTTGCCTAGATAGGAGAAGTTGTGGCTGAAGACAGTGTGGCATGTCATGTCCCTAGTAAATGCCAAATAAGTGCAAGTGGTAATATGATGCCATAGAATATCCTCCAATTAATGCTGGAAATGGAATTATAGACTGTTATGTTCTCAGCGTGCTTGAGGGCATCTTCCTCAGGTCTCAGGCCTCTAGCAGTCATCTTTCTTGGCAAGGTTCCTCAGTCTATTCCTGTCTTTGGGCTTCACTGTGGACATCATAGTACACTGGACTTCAGCATCTCTTCAGGCTGGTCTTCAGCTAACGTTGAGCACACTTGAGCGAGCAATGACAAAGCCAAGTGCTATTTGAGAATAGTTGTTAATTCAGAAAAGCATTTCAATCAAAACTTATGATGAAGAGAGCAGCCCGTTCCCTCGCCAACCTGACCAGGTGCCTAGGAGCTGTCAGCACACTGATGGCCTGCACGCTTTAAGAAGACTGGAGACCAGTGGTGATAGAACTGTGATCTGTGTTTCTCATGTAGTGTTTTTTGGCCACCATGAGATTTTTATGCTCATCCTGTGAGCACAAATAGAATAGCTAGGCAGCTCCTTAAGGTAATGCAGCCTGAATCAAGACGTCTCCAAATCTTCCAGGACAGAGCAGCTATTCCACTACAAATTTGTGATAGGTTTTTTCATTGTATTTTGCAGGATGCAATGCAGGAGGTTAACCTTTATCAAAACCTATGTACTTGTTTTTGCAGCAGCACTAGGCAGTCTGAAGTCTACATCGCAAATGTCTCCATCACTTAGATGACTCAATTGTTTCACTCAAGGCTAGAATACATGTTATCTTAAATTATTTCACCCATAACTAAAATGCAGCTGGCGCTTTCCTGCAGCAATAATGTCTCGCATCATGGGAAAGGTGACCCTTTTGCAAGAATATGAGCGCAACATCTGCTCTCTTCAAAAGCTTTCAAGTCTCCCACGTGTTTATGCAGAGCAGTTGTTAATACCTCAGTGTGATAGACCATGTGAGGAGCTAGCCTGCCTGCACAAGAAGCTAGTTTTGAGTCAGTGTTCCAGAAAATTTAGGCTGTGCTGTTGGACAAGTGTCTCGACTGACATCTTGCAGGCTGGTGAGTCGGGGCGCTCTCACGCAGGCTGGGTATCTTGGTATAAGTGTGGAACAGCTTGGCTCAATTTCTTAATTGCATACAGGGCTTTCTAGAAAAATCCAAATTTCAGCTTCACCTGGAGTAAGCCTGAAATATAACTGTTCTCTGTGCAGGCTTCTGACTCAGCACTCAATTTCTCCCTGCTTTCTCTCTGCTCTGCAGAGGCACAGGCAGAGAATAACGATTTCTCTGTCCAGCTGGAGGCAACTAGAAGAAATTTGGGGTGCTTCTTGCCAGGTTCCTGTCACCTAGCACTCGACTGAGCTCTGGCTGAAGATCAGCAGCTTGTCCTGCGAGGAGGGCACTGCATCTCTCCGTGCAAACAGAGGAACTGAACGGAATTTCCCTTTACGCTGCCCTTGTCCTCCAGAAAAAGCCTGACGCTCAGGAGCCGCTTCTTGGGGGAGGTGCCATAAAGGCTTAATTAATCTCTCATAAAACTTGTATGTTTGAGAGTTTAAGGAGGTGAAGCCAGGAAGCCCTTGCTGAAGGGTATTAAATATAAGGAAACGATATTATCAGAAATTGTTTAGCTAGCGATGCGGAAACTCTTGCAGGTATTTCGGCAAGTCCAGCAGTACCTCTCAGGGAGACTGTAGTGCTGAATGATGTACCTAGCAGGCCTCCCCCAATATGAAGTTAGGCTCAAAAGCAGAAACGTCTATATCCAGGTCAAAACTGTTTTGTTTTTGTTTTGCTCCCGTGCAGATCACCTGTCTCGATATTTCCAGTGGTGGAGGGCTTGGCGTGTCTACCAGCACGGATGGGACCATGAAAATCTGGCAGGCTGCAAATGGAGAAATAAGAGTAAGAGCATCTAGCTTTGTTTGGAGGTGTTGTGTGTTGATGTTACTGAAGTCATTCAGCTGTAATCGTAATCGGACTGTCTGCACTCTGAAGTCTAGGGCGGGCAGGCAAGAAACTGGCTTTTGATTGAAAAGCTAACGGAAGTTTGGCTTCTTGGAGATTTTAAAGTCTCATCTGTTGGAAAGTGCAACTTCCCCAAGGGAAACGATGCTCAGCAGCCTGGGGAGGAGTCCCAGGGTAAAAACAAGAAAGGGAAGTTAGGAATGACAGCTAGAGCACAAGAGGTAACTCTCGGCTCTGAACCTGCCTGGTACAAGCACTCAATTTATTCTGCAGTAGGGAAGAGGTGAAGAAAATGGCACTTGCTCATGTTAGACTAGCCACGCCGTGGGTGGCTGTTGCTTTCCCAGTTAAGGTGTTTCTTTTGGAGCTTGTTGCTTAGAGAGGGACATGATGTTCTCTGCTATATAATTAGTTATTCAAATGTCAAAGCGAGGCCCAGGGTGTACCTGGTAACTTAGCGACTGCCTAGAAGCTGCAGACGAGTCTGTTCCACGTACTTAAACCCAGAGGATATCTGTCCACTTGGGAACACTGAGTTTTCCAGTGACACAGTTCAAAAATTGCTTGGCGTAAGGGTGATAACAATGGAACTAGCACATAGTTCTTTGTTTTTCCAGAGACTATTGGAAGGCCATGTGTATGATGTGAATTGTTGCAGGTTTTTCCCATCGGGCCTTGTGGTTCTGAGTGGGGGAATGGATGCCCAACTAAAGATCTGGTCGGCAGAAGATGCCAGCTGCGTAGTAACATTTAAAGGTCACAAAGGAGGTACAGAGTACTTAGCCTTTAAAATGCTTTATCTGCTGTGTGTATGATTGCATTGCACCCGAGAGCTAATGTTCAGTCACCAGCCTGCTGCACTCTGTGCATTTATATTAGATGCGGGAATTATCTTTTTCAGGCTCCCAGAACTTGAATAAAAAGATCAGTAGTTGCTCTATTAGACAGCTGAAGCTGTTTCTCTCACTGACCTGGATTTTCTTCCTTTATTAAAGGGAAAAAGTGGGAGGATGCAGTCCATTAGGTGGTTGAGAGTGCCAGAGGTGGAGGCAGGGGGCTTTCTGTTCGTCCAGCGCGGTCTCGGCTATCCACAGCTCTGACCTGTGTTCAGTAGGCTTGCCGCCTGCGCTGCATTGGGAGTGCCTTCCACTCGCACCCACATCATCATGTTGACCTTGAGCTGCTCCGGAGCCTCTGTCTTTTTTTTTCTTTATTTTTTTCCTGTTGAGAAAAGCATGCAGCAGTTTATTAGGGACTCACAGAACTGGGGCAAGCAGTTCCCTGTCTTGAGGACCCACGCTGCTGAAAGGGAGCAAGGCACAGCAAGAGCAGCTGCCAGGTTACTTAAGTGAATGTTCACTTAAGACTTGGAAGGAGCTTGTCCGCCCTTTTACCGAAGGCAGATGTTTACCTCTGCTCTTGTTGATGGTCTCATTGCTGAAACTGCAAAATCCTCACCCTGCTTGTGTCCTCCCGCAGAGCATGCGTAGGCCATCTTATGTGGTGTGTTGAGTGCCCATTTTCTGCATTCGAGGATCCACGTTCCCTGCTTTCAGTTGTTCTCGCTACAAACCTCTCTTGATTGTTATCATCTTAGTCTTGGAAAAGTCTGCAAGGGATGGAAAACGAGCTACCCAGAAAGGCTCCTGAGAGCTGTGATTAAGGCGATTTTCTGGACAGAGCTGATGCTACCTCTGTTAGGGTTAGTCTCTGAAGAGAGGATTTGATTTCCTGTGGATTTATATGTAATGCTTAAGCAGGCTCTCTTACTGCCTGTTTGCGCCTGGCCCAGAGCACAGTGGTCAGGGATGCTACCTTGACTCGGCAGGTGGTATTTTCCCAAGGAACATCAAGCTGAACACTTGTGTGATCATGAGCAAATCCCAGATCCACAACTCACTTGCTTCTTGCTGCAAAAACAGGCCTCGGTTTTCTCCTCCCTGAACAGCTAATGTGGTGCTGTACAGACTCTTGCTTTCCCTGTCCTACAAGGCGCTAGGCTTTGAAAAGCGCTCTATGAGCGTAAACCCTGTGACTCTGTCCAAAACTCGGTTAACTTGACAACTTGCCTTGCACTGAACCTGCCGTTGTTTTAATGTGATCGAATTGTGTGGATTCAAAAAACGCAAAGTACTCCTGATATTAATGTCCTGTGAATAAACTGGAAGGCAGCGTAACAGAGCTTCGGTCAGAAGGACTCTGGCTGGCTCCCTGTGGCTCTGGAGTTGACTTTATCCCCTTTGTGCAGCTCCAGTCCAAACTGCTGCAGTCAGCATGTAATTGCATTTGGGTTTGCTTGGCATCCGCTCACTTATTTAGGACTTGTCCTGTGTCTTGAACTTGTCATGTTTAGTTACTGCTTCCATCAGGAGAGTGTTAATTATTTCTTCAAACTGTCTGATTGTTCCCTTCCTCAGAACGCTGCGTCATCTTTCAGATCTAGAAACACAGTGACCCGTAGCGAAATGAAGTAGTTAGGAGATGTTAGCATCTGCTAGGACTGCTCTCTTGGTGTTGCTGTAGCTGGATAATGTAGATGTTACTTGCCTCACCCCAGTTCTGGGGTTATGCAGAGCTGCAGGTGGCAATGTTTGAAGAGTGTTGGGCCAGACTCTTTTTCTTTCCAAGTCAGAGGCTAATCGTGGAGATAGCAACTCAGTAGCAGCTTCAGGAAGTATCACCTCCTGAGGTGAAGTGTTGCCGATCATCTTATCGGTGATATCTTGCCTCTGCGCAGGGCAGCGGCTCCTGCTGTGCGTGATTTACTGGGAACTGCTGCCTTCCACATGTGCCTCCCGTTGGATTTTGCGGCTCCCTGCCCTATGTTGCGCGATTTGCCTGTGTGTGACCTCGGGGTCTTGCCTTGCTGACCAGTGGTGCTCTGGGGACAGCAGCTTGGGGCTTGTAGCTTAGCGTGCGGGTAGTATGAGATGCTCTTCTCAACCTTGTTGTATCTGCCTGCCACGCTCCCTGTCTGAAAGCGGCCTTTGCTTTGATGCAGGTATTTTGGACACTGCCATTGTGGATCGGGGAAGAAACGTCCTTTCCTGCTCTAGAGATGGCACTGCCCGTCTCTGGGACTGTGGGAAGTCTGCCTGTCTGGGAGTCATCGCTGACTGTGGCTCTCCTGTCAACGGCATTGCCGTGGGCGCTGCTGACAACTCACTGAACCTGGGCACACCTGAAAAAGCTCCCAGTAAGAAACTTTCTCTTAGGTCAACCTTCCTCCCCTGCCTCAGACTCTTCAGGTTTGTCACCTGGGTGCCGCAGGTGAAATCCTGAGAGTGCAGCATGCTCCCTCATACCATCTGGGGAAGGGAGCTAGGGCCGCCAGAATAGAGCACTCCAGCCCTGGTAGGAGGAATTGAGCCTCCTCAAACAGCATGAGTGATTAAGACTGGGATCTCTTTGATTACTGGGCTGCCTTGCTGCATCTGGTGTCTCATTTTCCAAGGGGAACGTGGCTAGGGGTGCAGCAGGAGTGATCTGAACTGTCCGACTCTGGTACAGATTTTGGTACCATCAGATCAACTCCCCTTCTGTTGACGTTTGGCGTGTAGCCACGGCTGGAGTTAACACTGCTGTTGTCCTTTTGCCAGGTGAACGTGAGATTGGGACAGAAGGGAAAATCCTGTTGTTGGCCCGAGAAGACAAGAAGCTTCAAGGAGTGGGACTGCAGAGCAGGCAGCCGGTAAGGAGTCAGAGATGATCAGTAATGCCTTTGAATTGCCCTGGCTGTAGGAGGAGATGGTCTGTGTAGAGAACTGCTGTGTATGGTGGTGTTTCTCATCCCCTAATCGTAGGGCACTTGCCTGAGGTCCCCTAATCGTAGGGCACTTGCCTGAGGGAGCATGTTGAGATGCTGCTATGAAAACAGCGCAGGGCCCCAGTACTCAGTTGCCA